TAAAGGATTGTGGCTGCTTTGCTCCTCCTCGGGTTCTGCTGCCATGGGCTAAGCACCCCATCTTTTAAGAAGATTTCCAAGAAAGAATAACTGCACCCCGAAGGTGTATTGAGAACCAAAAGTTTCTGACCAATACGCTCTTATATCCACTTCCCTTCTGTATTGGCGTACAAATGATGTAACTCCTAGAAATGCCTGACACTCAAGTAAAAGGATAAAGGGGGGGGGAATATGAGGGCAAAAGTCAAAAGGCAGTAGGCTCCAGAAATTATAATGTGGTAAAACATAACTGATGGTCTGCAAAAGGTGTTGAGGGGAACCTTGTTGCAACATTATGGAGTTTAGTGCCATGCATTATTGTTTGCACTTGGCTTCACAGTTCCAAAGGACAACATAATTAGATTCCATTCCTGAAATCTTTTTAAACATTAAAAGGAAAGGCTAATGCTCCAGGGAGTAAGATCTGTCCTTTTACATGACTAAGGATAGCTTACAGTAAAGCTGACACAAGGAAGCAGTCAAATTTCCCTCGTGGTATCATGTCAATTTCAGGAAAGAAAGAAAAAGCATTATTTTATGTGCTTATATTCATAGAGCTGATGCTGTTGTTGTTTGGATTCCAAGTATGGTGGCGCTATATATATATATGGAAACGTGAAATGCTTTCTTGTTAATAGCTATTCCAAGAAAAGGATGTTGTTCTCTAATATTGGTAAGCAATGCCAAATGATTCACTTTTTCATTGTGGTAGTTTGCTAAACATGCTTTTGGCCTATTTCTTACTCAGAGAAGGGAAGTATGGTCACGCGGCATGCTTTGGACTCCAGCCCGGCTGCCTCCTCTCTGATGGCAGCAGAATGATGTCAGTAGCAGCCTTGGTAACCAACTTCACAAAGCCAACACTAGATCGCCCATCACTGCTGCGACATGATGAGGTGAAAACCTACTTCCATGAGTTTGGACATGTAATGCACCAGATATGTGCACAGGTTAGTGGCTGCCTTGTTCCTCAGACAAAATGGTAAATCTTCTAGTCTGGTTCTGTGAACGTGAGCTTCCATTTTGAAAGAAGACTACAGATCAAAGAGCTGCATGTCAACTTCCCCCCAACTGAAGAAAGAAAACTTTGGTTTCAAATAATTCAGAATTAATGGTAAATTTGGATGGGCTCTCCATTTACTTAGAAATATTTCCCGTTTATAAAGTTTCTTTGTAATTTTCAGATTAAAAGCAATCCTTGGTAAATCCTGATCCCATGAATGTCAAGGGCAGGCTTGTTAATTGACTTTAGCAGAGGTGCCATCCCATCCCTGATGAGTCCGGTCATTAGGAATAGAATCTGCTTGTACCTGTGGAACCAAATCTGCAGTTCTGATTCTAGAGTGCTACAGTGGACCACCTCAGATAGACTGATTTGCCTCTGTGCATAGATCTGGCAAACGACCTCCAATTCCACCGGCTCCACACATCTCAGTTGTGGCCCATGTGCATAGGTCAAAATTGCTTAGTCATTCCCTATTTTCTGGGTGTTGACTGTGCGATGTTGGCCTGTGCGTGTAATATTTTATGCACATATAAGAACCAGTGTGGTGTAGTGCTTCTTAGGACCTGGGAAAGCAAAGTTCAAATCATCACTCAGCCATGAAGCTCCCTGGGTGACTTTAGGCCAGTCTTCATCTCCTAGCTAAACCCACTACACAGGGTTTAGGATAAAATGATAAAGGAAGATGGTAGACTATTAATAATAATTAGGCTGTAACTTGGACACGCTGTCCCCATGCATAAGGACTGGATTAGCCTTCTTGTGTGTTGTCTGAACCATTCCAGAATGTTGGAAGAATGGGGTACAGTGTTTGTATAAACCTATATGTGCATATATAAAAATCTTTTGCAAAATTGACTGTAATTTAATATGTATGTACACTCATTGGTTTATATTTGTTCTCCTCTTTCATAGACTGACTTTGCTCGGTTTAGTGGAACTAATGTGGAAACAGACTTTGTAGAGGTGCCTTCACAAATGTTTGAGAACTGGGTTTGGGAAAAAGAACCTCTACAAGAAATGTCCAGGCACTATAAAGATGGCAGCCACGTCCCGGATGATCTCGTTGAAAAACTGGTAGCTTCTAGGCTAGCCAACACAGGTATTCCCTTCTCTCTGTCTTTCCTCCCCACCCTCTCTCTCTCTTGCTGTAGTTTTACTTTCTGTGTGAGAAAAAGCATCCCTGACATATTCTGAGTGAAAGAATGTCATAAAATGACAGCTGAAAGGACAGGCCAGGAAGTGTGGAGGAGCTGCACTGCACTGAGCTCCTTCGGCCATGTCCCTCCCCCTCTTAGTTTCTTTTTATGATATTCTTTCACTCAAGGATGCTCAGGCTTCGTCCAGCTCATAACACATGAATGCACCTTTGGTTAGTTGAACCTATCGAGTATCCCCCAAATTAACCCCTCCCCTTAATTGATATTCTTCACTTTGTAAATGTTTTTATGGACCCTGTTTAGTTATAGTTGGAAAGATGGGGGGGGGCAAGGGGAACTGCACAAGCCTCAAGCCTACTCTATCAATCTCCCCACCCCCGATATAATCTAGGAAAGGGGATATCAGATAAAGAGGACCCATGTCTTACAAGCAATTTGTCCTGCATTTAGTATGCATCCTATTAAAATGTAAATTTACCACATTTTATTTTTTGTTTGTTCAGTTCTTTCAATTTAAAGTGGATAATGACATTTCATCTGTATAATTCTATTCAACTATAAGTACAGTGGTACCTCGGGTTACATACACTTCAGGTTACATACGCTTCAGGTTACAGACTCTGCTAACCCAGAAATAGTACCTCGGGTTAAGAATTTTGCTTCAGGATGAGAACAGAAATCGTGCTCTGGCAGCGCGGCAGCAGCAGGAGGCCCCATTAGCTAAAGTGGTGCTTCAGGTTAAGAACAGACCTCTGGAACGAATTAAGTACTTAACCTGAGGTACCACTGTACTTGGTAATCTGTTTCTTTCCTATGCTCCTTTCCTAGGCTGGAATTTACAGCATTTGCATCTTAACAAACCTCTCTTGCCCTGTTCTTGCCGATTAGTTGAAAATTGTGTTTTGATCCTCTTCTTTATCTAGGTCTTCTGACACTTCGTCAGATTGTGTTGAGCAAGGTTGATCAGTCTGTCCATACAATATCTTCTGCTGATCCTGCTCAGGAATATGCCAAGTACTGTGATGAAATTTTAGGAATACCTGCAACCCCAGGTATGAAAACCTGAAGCTTCTATTTTACTTTATAAACTCTTTGTTCACTCCATGTTACTTTTTTTGAACACCAGCTTTAAAAACAACAAACTGTTACAACATTATTTTTTAGGAATGATGGATGTTTTGCTTGATTTTTTTATTTTGCCACCTTAGGCTTCTTTGGGAAGAAGATCAGGATAAACAAACCTAATAAATAATTTATTATTATTATTATTATTATTATTATTATTATTATATTATTATTATTATTATTATTATTATTATTATTATTATTTCTTCTTTCCCCTAACACAGAAAACCTGGATACATAGGGTTGAATCCAGGATTCTGTGAGCAGAGTTCTGCTTATTAAACAGGGTTTCTTTGGTGTTGGCTCCTCCTGCATCTCCTAAAATGTGCTCCAAAGGTTGGGGGGGGGTGTTGCCTGGAACAGTGTGGGAGATGGCACAGGGAATTACAGTGGGAAGGAAGAAATTGACAAAAATATCCTCCCCTCTGTTGAATTCTCCTTCAGATCAAATGCCTTAGCATGAACAGGTCAGGCCAATGAACTCAAAGGACAGCAAAGTGTTCTCTCCACCATAGCCAGAATTCTGCCTCCCTTTGCTCTTGTCAGAGCCAAGCAAGAAGAGAGGGACTTAGGCAGTCTCCCGTCTGACTATGCACTGCACAGTACCCTGTTCACAGTGCTGAGAGTTGAGGATCACTACCAAAGCTTGGAGACAGCACCTTGTATCCTAGGGCAGTTTGGGGGGCTCCAGTAGGGCATGCTAGCATGGATACCAGCCCCAGGCTGTCCTCCAGCCAAGCACCTGGGTCCGAGAGCCGCCATTTTAATTTCTTTCAGTGCCCCAGATTGACACTACGTCAGGCATTCTAGAGCGGCTCTTGTGTGCCCTTGAAGCACACACTCACTTTTCTCGTCAGGTGTACTCTATCCACTCTACCTCACTCAGAAGAGGCTGGCTCCCCAGGGAAAGGTTCAGCATGGTCAAGAGTACTGTCTTTCATGTACATGATATTTGCTTGTTATATCTGTGGATCCTCTAAGATGTTCTCATGTATGTGGAGTTCTCCCATGATTTGGCTAGGCCAGATCTGCTTGACTTCGGAGATGTAACTATATCAGATGCTCTTCTCTGGAGCATTCTGTCTAAAGCCTGAATGTTTTATCAGTGTCTCCCATGTTTTCTTTTCTTACACTGCTTTTAAAGGTACAAATATGCCAGCTACCTTTGGACACCTGGCAGGTGGCTACGATGCCCAGTACTATGGCTACCTATGGAGTGAAGTTTTCTCAATGGATATTTTTTACAATTGCTTTAAGAAAGAAGGAATAATGAATCCAAAGGTATGGAAACTTCCTTTATGATGCCTGCTATAAAGTTCAATCAGTTCAAGGATTTTCTGTAGTCTCAAAAATATGGTTTACTAGAAAGGATATAAGGGACGCGGGTGGCGCTGTGGGTCAAACCACAAAGCCTAGGACTTGCCGATCAGAAGGTCGGCGGTTCGAATCCCTGCGACGGGGTGAGCTCCCGTTGCTCAGTCCCTGTTCCTGCCAACTTAGCAGTTTGAAAGCACATCAAAGTGCAAGTAGATAAATAGGTACCGCTCCGGTGGGAAGGTAAATGGCGTTTCCGTGCACTGCTCTGGTTCGCTAGAAGTGGTTTAGTCATGCTGGCCACATGACCCAGAAGCTGTCTGCAGACAAATGCCGGCTCCCTCGGTCAATAAAGCGAGATGAGCGCCGCAACCCCAGAGTCGGTCACGACTGGACCTAATGGTCAGGGGTCCCTTTACCTAGAAAGGATATAACTGGGAAGTTTGAATTCACAGGCTTTTCTACTCCTCCATGAGAGGTCCAGAAGGTGGCAACACGAGAACAGGCCTTTTCTGCAGTGGCTCCCCTTTGTGGAATGCTCTCCCCAGGGAGGCTCACCTGGCGCCTTCATTATTCACCTTCAGGCACCAGGCGTAAACGTACCTCTTCTCCCAGGTCTTTGGCTAATTAACATCCGATGCCCTTTTCTTATCCAACATAATGGGAGTAAATGTTGTTTCTTCAGTTCCCTTTTAGAAAACCTGCTGTATATAATAAAGACATGGAATTAAAAAGAGTACTGGGGAAAACCAACGTAACATGTCCTGAAGGTTTTGCGTCTTAAATGAACAGACAAATGTGAAACAAAAAATGGCAAGCAAAAACAATAGAGAGCAGAGAACAAGTTAAAATACATTAGAATAGGCACGTGAAAATAGATAAGCCTTGAGGCAGCTCTGGGAGTGTAGGAGGAACTGGATCCTACTAATATCAGGGGGCAGTGAATTCCAAAGATAAGGCACCGCCAAAGAAAGCAGACAACGGCATGAGCCATCAGATGCAGTTTTTGGTCTGACTGGGAGGCGGGCACCAGAAGAGCTCAGAGGCATACAGAAAGACAGACAATAAGCAGTAGCAGCAAGCATTCAAAAATAAGATGCTGAAGTGAATTTAATGGAGGAAAGCGAGTGCATAGGAAGGCAAAAAGATATTTACAAAAGGAGGCAATGCCCAAACAGCTGCAAAGAATGGATACCAGTGATTTTAGCAAAGGGAAAAAACAACAAAAAGGGCAATGTAATACTGCAGTCTGCTTCTGCATAGCTGCAGTCTAGCATTACAGTACTGTGGTCTGCTAGTTCATACACAGCTGTACTGTCTCATTCTATTCGTTGTGTGGGTCCTTCTAGTAACATGGAAGCTTATATATGTCATTAATGGATGCCTCCAGGAATATTCAGCATTGGAAAGAGCCAATCTAAGTGGGCATTAGAAATCACAACATGGCAAAGGTCCTCACTTGTGGATGAGTTAACATGTAGACAAACCCTTATACTAGGATCAGTGGTAAGTGGAAGAACATTTTTAGACCTGTGTGCAGTGACAGTCACAGGTGGTAGTTCTGCTGCCCTCAAGGTATTTGGGGGGGCAGCCTGGTAGAGGGAATTATTTGTGGCAACTAATAATAATAATAATAATAATAATAATAATAATAATAATAAATTTATTATTTATACCCCGCCCATCTGGCTGGGCTTCCCCAGCCACTCTGGGTGGCTTCCAAAAAAAATATTAAAATACTGTAATACATCAAACATTAAAAGCTTCCCTAAACAGGGCTGCCTTCAGATGTCTTCTAAAAGTCCGGTAGTTGTTGTTCTCTTTGACATCTGGTGGGAGGGCGTTCCACAGGGAGGGCGCCACTACCAAGAAGGCCCTCTGCCTGGTTCCCTGTAACTTGGCTTCTTGCAGTGAGGGAACTGCCAGAAGGCCCTCAATGCTGGACCTCAGCGTCCGGGCAGAACGATGGGGGTGGAGACGCTCCTTCAGATATACTGGACCAAGTCCGTTTAGGGCTTTAAAGGTCAGACCAACACTTTGAATTGTGCTCGGAAACGTACTGGGAGCCAATGTAGGTCTTTCAAAACCGGTGTTATGTGGTCTCGGCGGCCGCTCCCAGTCACCAGTCTAGCTGCCGCATTCTGGATTAGTTGTAGTTTCCAGGTCACCTTCAAAGGTAGCCCCATGTAGAGCGCATTGCAGTAGTCCAAGTGAGAGATAACCAGAGCATGCACTACTATGGCGAGGCAGTCCGCAACATTCTGGAAACTCCTACATTCTGGAATTCCCTCCCCACAGAGGTGTGTCTAGAACTTTAATTGTATAGTTCCTGCTATATGCTAAATATGCACCTCTTTGGCATTGTCCTGAGATGTATATTGTCAAGACCCACCCTATTCCTGTGTTTGCGATTTATTTTAAACTGGTTTTAAATATTGTTCCCTATTGGGGATGGGGCACACTGCCATTGCAGTTTCAGCCCTGTCCTCTTACCAGTGATGTCAGCTGATGGCCCACTGGGCGTGGCTTGAGGGAAAAGAGCCAGATATACTTCTTTGCTCACTTCAGGTTCTGTAAACATTTAAAAAAATTGTTTTCTGGTTGTATGATAACTAATGACTTTTGGAATCCCCAGGAGGTCCATGTCAATCACATTGAGGAGTGACATTGGAGAGGCAAGGAGCAGGTCAGCTTGTGATAAAACCAAAATAAGTCATATCAGCTGCATGCCAAGACCACATGCTGCTTCCATTCTGCACAGGCTTCCTTTGCTTCTATTTATTGTAGAATTAGAAAGTTCACATAAACATGAAATGTCAACCTACCAATTTTATTTTATTTTAGGCTGGAATGAAATACCGAAACCTGATCCTGAAGCCTGGAGGCTCATTAGATGGAATGGACATGCTCCAAAACTTTTTAGGTCGCAAGCCAAACCAAAAAGCCTTTTTATTGAGTAAAGGATTATATACTTAATAAAACTATGGTCTCCTTGTAATCAGATGTCACCTGGGGGAATTAGTCTTGAAATGCCTGTTGGTTTCATGTCCTGAAAGGTGAAAGCACAAGAGTTTCTCATCAGCAAAGATCTAATTGTTTTTTCTAATGTTTTTATTACTGCTTTTCAAAGTTCATAATTCTCACTGTCGCCTCAAAATCCACACTAATTTTTGTAATGTACTTTACTGAAACTCTTGCTTTTTTAATTAGTAAATTATATGTGGAATGTGATGAAGTCATAAAATGAAAACAACATTGTTGTATTTTTTTTAATCAGGTACAGGTGTCGAATAAATACAACATAAATATTTTTGTGTGGCTTTTTCATATTGAACAACAATGAAGAGAAAGTCGTAAACGTTTCTTCTATTCATCCCTTCCCTACCCCATGCATACCCCCTTCCTCTATGTTAAAAGAATAGGAGTATCCATATATTTTACCAGCAAAGCTGCTAGAAATTAGGGAAAAGTGAGAGTAGGTAGTTCAGAAAACAGAGTAAAAGGCTTAGCTCTCCTCCCTATTGCCACTTTTCTGATCTTCCAAGTAGCTGTGTGGGGCTATTATTTGGTGGAGAGGGAAGCAACAGGAATACTGATTATGGATCTCCTATATCATGCAGGGGAGTTAATGTGGGACCCGAGAGCTAAAAAAATAACATCCACAGCTCAGCCAAGACCTCTCCCTGTTTCTGTGAAAAGATGGATGTCTGGTAATAAGAACTGAGCTGTGGTCCATTTCTCAACATTAAACCTCTGTGGAATGCAGAAGTTTCTGAATAAGTAACATATGGAGCATCATGAGTGAATTTTCCTCCTTTAAATCTGCTGGCAAGAAACTTCCACAGGAGGGAGACCTTTCTCTGAACAGAGAGGTTGTAACAGAGGCTGCCACTTAAATATTCAAGATGTGGGGCAGCAGGGAACAAATATTATATAAAATTTGGGAGGCTAATATTTGTAGCTTTGTTTTTCATTTTTGTTTTTTAAGCCAAGGAGGTTGCTGAGGATACCCTGCGGTTGGAACGCTAGTGAAACCGAAATAAACAGCAGGTTATCTGCAATATTACTTAGCCTGTGATCTCAAGAGCATCTTTGTAGCTTGCATTAAATGATCAATGCATCAATGAGACTTTAATTCTGATCACATTTGTTTGGGAGTAAGAGTACTTATCCATATACTTAGGCGTACACTTTTCCATTAGCCCCCAAAAGGATCAAGTGCTGCATAGCTTAGGTATAAGCCTATTATCATCCGTGTCTACAGAGAAGCTGCAAAACCTCATTTTCTCCTGTTCATTTTCATAAAACAGCCAATTAAAGGTAGCTATGCACTATCTCTTATTAGGACAAACTAATAACTTATAAAAGTAACGAGCAAGTTTTCAAGTCTCCCAAACAATTATGCAGTAAAAAAAATTCCTCCCCCTGCCCAGCCACTCTTCCCTTATTTTTACTTCTTGTTTCTTTTTAGCACAATGGAACTTGTTTCTGAGTAAACATGAATAGGGTTCAATTTCTACTAATAGTGTGTAAAGTTCTTTGTGGTCTTTCCTTCCCTTCCTCCCCATAATAACGGGTAAAATATATGTCTGTGCCTGCAACATCAGTTACTTAATTTTATCTTTATGGAAAAATCTAATCTGACAAGTTTGCAAATAATATATTTTCATATCAAAGTCAGCTGAATAGATGTCGCCCAACTGTTTCTTGCAATTAATATTCTTGTTTCAGTGTCTGCAAATACTAGTTGCTTCCTTTATCAAGGTGATGTCCAAAAGAAGGTCAAGAAATTGATCAAGAACTTATGCAATCAATTAACTAAAAAGAAAAGGAATAAGCAGCTTTATAAAACCAGAGAAAGGTTCCATAGCCACTGGAACAGCATAAAAGAGCCTTTGTGGTCAAAATTGTTCTCTGCATGAGGGGGGAAAAACAGGAGACACTACTGTGGTGACCTCCATTTAACTGCCAGTTGGTGTGGGTTTTCCATGTATCTATATGTAAACATTCAGTAGATATCATATGAGCGTATCTTTGCTTTCTAGAACCACCTTTACAGAAACATTGAGTTGTATTCCAGGATAGTAATCTGCATATTCAAGGGTATATGCAGATATGGGCTGCCTGCTTTTCACTGTCACCCACTAATTGTAGGATAAAAGTAAATAGGCCGTAATTTTAAAGATTGTTTAGAAAGGGAAAACATGAGCCTAATCCGGACACTAGGATTACCAGGAATGGTGACTGGTTTAATCTCCACCCCCAAATATCCCCAGGTGCACCCCTTTAATTAAAGGTAAAGGTAAAGGTACCCCTGCCCGTACGGGCCAGTCGTGTCCGACTCTAGGGTTGTGCGCCCATCTCACTTAAGAGGCCGGGGGCCAGCGCTGTCCGCAGACACTTCCAAGTCACGTGGCCAGCGTGACAAGCTGCATCTGGCGAGCCAGCGCAGCACACGGAAACGCCGTTTACCTTCCCGCCAGTAAGCGGTCCCTATTTATCTACTTACACCCAGAGGTGCTTTCGAACTGCTAGGTTGGCAGGCGCTGGGACCGAGCAATGGGAGCGCACCCCGCCGCGGGGATTCGAACCGCCGACCTTTCGATCGGCAAGCCCTAGGCGCTGAGGTTTTACCCACAGCGCCACCTGCGTCCCTACCCCTTTAATTATTCCCATATAAATTAGTGTCTGTCAGCACCTCAAA